CAAGAACTCCTCAACCTCATCCCTTAGTAATGTTTGGTCTTCTTTTGCGAGTTGCAGCTCCTCAAGCCCTGGGATTCTGCCAGAGCTAAGCCTTTTGGTGTGCTTGGATGGTTTGGGTATTTAAGGGCCCTTTCTAATCCATCTGTTGTTGACGCTACATATCTGTAAGCATGCCTCCTTAGACAGACAAATGAGGGCTAAATTTTTATATCATAACCATAAAATCATATCCCTTATTAGAATTACAAGTTACCTTTCCCTTCTTTTGTATGAATAATGATAACAATTCTGCCTAATGATGGCAGTGGTCACAGCAATCCTTATTCAATCTTAGCAGGAGGAAATTTTGCAGTTTCTTTGCATGTAAAACTTCCATTATTTGGATGGGGTTCCTGTGACATAGGTCATTATATCCGTAATATGTATTTATAGTTGTTTAAAGACCTGAATAGTTTATGGAATAAATTCTGATGCGATATAGCCAGGAGCTCTGTGGGTTTTCATTATGCTATTGATTAAAAAGCCCACAACTAGACAGTGAAGATAAGGGAAAGAACTGGAAACTGTGCGAAAATTCCTTTTACTCTGTATAAATAATTTCACATTTGTTTTAAAAAAGGAGTCTTTGCTTATTTTTTTTCCTCAAGATAATCTCTGTCTTTGTTTGAAAAAGGTTATTGATTGGATTGTTAACTTAAATAGTCTGTGGCGGGTGTGACAGAGCACATGGCTGCAATTAATCTTGTGATGCAGAATCCATTATTGAAGAAGCACTAATGAGCCGTTCTAAGGCCTTCACTGGTCACAGAGCGCCTGGGAGCAGCAGATTGCTCCTGCCCTTTAATGTCAGTTTTGGTCTTTAGTGCTATACAGCCTGTGTAAGCAGAAGAGATTTTTAGATTTTCTTTGGGTTTTTTTTTGTGGTTTTTTTTTGGTTTTGTTTTTTTTTTTTTTTGATATTTATGTCAAAATTCTCCTTACTGCCAGCCTGAAATTGCACCAGGTGTGAGAGACAAGAAATGGTCTCTGAATGTGCTCACCCCCTACTCCTCCGACCAGATGTCTGGTGGACATAGTGTACAATTAAAGTCAGTGGCATGTGAAACACGGGTGTCACTATAAAATATAGTCTCAGTTGCAGGGTTCAGATCCAGAGGAGAGTTTCGACAAAGATAAGGGAGCTTTCATACCTGATCTATACTTTAAAATATTGCTTTAAGACAAAGGGATGAGCTGTTGGAAACCTTCTCACTGCAAGTTTTATTGTCTATGTTGTTTATAGCTGTTGCGGCATAGCAAAAGTTTGGGCAGAGAATAGTTATGGTAGATTAGAAACTGTCGACGTTAACATATCACCTTCTCCTTCAACAGAACTGCTCCCGGGGTGTATTTTAGAGGTCTGTCTATTGACTTTGGTGACACCATAAATATGTGTTACTTCTTCCCCCTGTTAGATCTGTGGAGTTGATACAGACATGTGAGAGTGATACAGAGTTTGCCAGGGCTGAGCCACCACTTGAATTATTAACTGACTTCCAGCTGCAGACTCTTTGCTGCACACCTTTGCCATAGCAAATGCCATTTATCACAAGATTAGTGAAATAAGACTGTTTCTTCATCTTGACCACGTAAGTGATGAAATTAAGCAGAAAAGACTTTCAGCTCTCTGGCTTGTGCACTACCACAGTGTCTGTAACTTGAGCTACATTTCGGACTGCTCTTTGTGTAAAACAAAATTGTTTGTGGATTGAACTAGCATTTTTTTTTTTTAAGGAAATTTGAATATCCCTATAGTAGCTAGACATATGCAGCTACAGGGCTTTGTCTTCAGCTATTCTGCCACAGAGGGAATGCCAAGAAGTGCTGTGATATGGAGCAGGGGTGGTGTTCACTAACACCACTCCAGGAAGTCTTGGACGTGTGAATTTTCTCATCGGTCATGAAAAACACTGGGTTTTGAACCAAAGTAGCAGGAAAACAAGGAGATTGTGAAAAAGGAGAACAGTGAGGGCAGGAAAAAGAATTGTCATGTTTTGAGTATCTACTGACATGCTTGCCATAAGCTACAGTGCCTTATCATGCTGCTGGTGTAAGTAAAAATAGTCTTTCCAACGACATTAGGTTGGGGTCATGGTACCACAAGGCATGTTGTTTAATGTTAAAGAGGATCTGACTTAGAGGCTGAAGAAAGACATGTCCACGAGATACTCTTTTTCCATTAGACATGCCATAAGCCCTGGGCTAACATAGAGCAATCTGTGGCTATGCAGACATGGCTGTGGGCATTTGTTGGACTCTTTTGTAGTCACAGCATTTGGAGAGAGTGCCCAATGGAGTGAATAAATTGGTATGTTTTTGCAAAATATTTCTGCATTGCTACTAAGCATAAGCCACCATGGCCATCGCTCCACTATTACTGTTTTTTTAAGCAGTTGTCAGCCCGCAAGAGCCCATTTCTTTTAGGCTGCGGTGGGCGTGGTCCTTAAGAAGGGCTCCGCAAAATAGGATGGATCACTTCAAGGATGAGGCACCATCAATACGAGATGCAGCACAGAAAACCTGCAGAGGTGTTTCTGAGGCAAATGAGGAACGAGACAGTCAAGACTGATAGCTGGAAGAGAGCAGCAATGGCTGCGAAGGGACAGAGATAAAGTAGTGAACAGAACCTGACCTTCATGTCGTTTGAGAAAGGGAGAGCCTTTAGCTGGAGTCTCTGCAATGAGCAATGTCTGTACACAGGCAAGTAAGCACATGAATACATGTATGCATTTAGCTGTGATCTATTTCTGTAAGTTTAATTCCATTCTTTCTATTTCTTTTCAAATGGGACTGAAGCTATTTAACTCTCTGATTAACTCGCCTCCCTGTATGAGTTGTTTTCTGTGATATATTCTAGCACTGTACAATCTTTCTGAAAGCCAACTCTCTGCTGTTGGGATGAATTCCTCCCTGATGTGTAGTGTGGCACATTTGTTCTATTTACTGGTGTTGGAATGAGGTTCTGCATTTGCTGTAAATCAGATCTGGAGGAACATTTCAGTGTCATGTCAGGTTCTGCTAGTTTGGTAGTATCGGAAATTATATGAGGTCCTCTCAGCAAGAAAAGGTATCATGTCACATCTTCTGCACAGTTGCAGTTTCAAGGTCCCCAGAAATTTAGTTTGGACTTGGTCCACTGTAAATCTCAGTAAAATCTGACGCTTGTTTTGTGCTGACATTTCAAGGGCTCCAAACCCCAGTGATCTTCTTAGCCCATCTGAGCTCATCAGTACTGTCAAAACATTTCTTTGTTCAAAGGCTTAAGAGTGATATGAGCAATGTCACTGATCTCTCCTTCCTTAAATATCTCCTTTATTTTCTATTCAATTTCCTTAATAACTTATGTACACACATTTCTTTGCTGGACAGGCTTAGTTTTCGTATCACAACCATGCGAACATAACTGGAGAACAAAAATCCTTATTACAGCATTTGGTGGTATCATGGACACATAAAGAAAATATATTCCCTGCGGCATTATTGCCTTACCCAGAAACTCTCAGCAACTGTTTGCTTCACTGGCTGGAAAATACAAAAGCTTCTTTTAGGGTGGTGATGGGTGATGTGACAACACAGCAAAATACTGCTGGTAGGTTTGGTAATGAAGATAGCACATCTATGCTCACATCTACTGTAGCCTTGCCTTTTTTTTCTTACTGGAGAAGCAACCTTTCTTTCTTCAATCTTAAAAAGACACTTGAGGCTGGTGGAGGTGGAAGAGATTTTTTCATAGCCATTTGCTGTAGTCTAAGAACAGCAGATCGGCTAGAGGTGAAAAAACCCCGCGCACCTGATGGTGTAAATTTCTAGAAGTAGCATGCGGTAGTGCTGGATGCGTGTACCTGTATTTCTGTTTTTTCTACAGATGAGTAATTAGCTATCCCTGTCCCATGCCCCCCACCCCTGCCTACGCACAGTGTCAGTGCCTACGTGTTCAGGGAGGGATGCTCAGTACGGGGCTTTCTGAGAAGGCAAGCGGTAGCTTATTGCAGGTGACGTAGGGACTTCCTTGGCCTGATAGCCGTGGTTTGGGAGTACAGTACTTGATTTCAGCGGTATATTTTTCTTGTTTTGTTTTGCAGAAGGAACACTGATCCTACATTTGGTTTGTTTGTTTGTTTGTATTTTCCCCTCCAGAAAGCCCATTGCTGACCCTGCTACTGTGATACCGCTGTTTTGCAAAGCTGGAGTCAACACGCATGTAGGGGTGGGGGTTGTAACTCTGGCAATTTGTCCTTCCCGATTAGATGTGACTGTTCTGCTAGCTTTCCCTTCTTTATTCCTTTCATTTAGTTCATTGTGGGAATTGGCTTGGGGTTTTTTCCTTTTGGTTTCTTGTTTTGATCCTGGAAGGTTAGCTGTGCAATTTGGTTTCTTCTGTGCCAACCAACTTTAGTGGCAGAGCTCTTAAAAAAAGGAAAAGCTGTACCCTTCATCCTGTCTTGCTTCTTCTCTGTATGCTACTGCTTCCATTTAAGCAAAGTTTACAGAATTGCTCCACCCATTTGGACACCAGGAAGGGAACCTCTGAAATGGAGAATAACCTCATTTTCACCATGTCCTTCAGTCTGGTCAAAACAATGCTAATTGAAACTGTAGTTCAATTTCTGTTAAAATGGATGGGCGCTCTCTTTGGAATTGGGTTTGTTTCTGATTTCATCCTTTCTCTTGTTTTCTTTCAAAAAAAAGCCCCGCAAAAACCAAACCCAAAGACAAACCATTTTTAAGAGCTCTGAATAAAACTGCTTTGCCAATGGGGAAAGGGTGGGGATGACTCTGATTTTCTCTTGTGCCCGGCAGCGAAAGGGTTAATGCCTGCTTTCCTCTTTGGTATCTGTTAGTTGCAGCCCATGTTGTGATCAGTCCATGTCCATGTGCGTTTTGTTCCCAAATTTAACACCGGTTAATTAACGAGCAATAAGTGAGCCTTAACAATGACAGTTGTTTCCGATCTTCCTCAGGACACCCGACCTGCCTGCAGTTCACCACAAACATGACTGAGGCTGTTAAAACCTATCAGTGGCAGTGCATTGAGTGCAAATCCTGCAGCCTTTGTGGGACCTCTGAGAACGATGTGAGTTCTTTTACCTTTTTGTGCAAATAAGCGTCACTGCAAGCTACTGTCCTGTCTGCCCTTGAGGAGCACGTGGCAATGGTGTGGGTCATGGCTTTGCTGCTCCTTCCATACATCCCCGAGGAACAGCCACTCCTAAGAACAAGGATGGGCTTCTCCCCAGTGCCCCCGTTCAGCCATCTCTCTCTGCTGAAATTACCATGGGTATCACGTAGGGCCACTTGACGATACTTGTGGTTTGTATACTTACCCAATAGAAATTAGCTGGAGGCCGTGTCACAGGGACCTGCAAGAGAGTAATATTTCAATATGGTAGTCAGGAGTAGATGTGAATGGGTGATAACCTGAGAGGTGGCAGGCATGTTTCTTCTGTCCCTAATTTTGCTTACTTTCTCGGCATGATTTTTTAATCTTAGTAACAAGACTTGGGAAACAAGAAAGTATTTGACCTGGGATGGCCAGGCCTCTCTCTAGTTACCTCATCACCTGTCCTACTGATTTCTAAACCGTGATCCAGAGCCTGCAGCTGAGCAGTGTTCTCTCTGCGGGGTTTTCAGGTAAAATCTGGTGCTAAAGGTCCTTGGTAGTCTGTGAGAAACTTGGAGAATTGACAGTAGCTGGAGAGCTTTGGAGGCAATTAGCTAACACTGCATTCCCTATAGGAGAATAAATTTGAAGCCTGAGATTTTGTTTTGCTTTAGTAGTAAATAAGGAAATCTGAAAACACAGAGCTGTTCTGTGCTAGGAATCACAGGATACTTCAGCGCAGCTTTCCCCCCCCCCCCCCCCCCCCAGATACATGAAAGAGCTACAGACCACATGGTGGGATCGTGTAATTTCCATCTATTTCACAGAGCATTTACTCAGCTGAGTTTTGGAGAACTGGCTAAGTCCAGGCTTTTCACGAGACAGGTTTCCCTGAAGGGATGAGATCCAGCACACGGTCACATTGGAGCCCAGCAAGGCCTGTCCTCTTCTCTCAGTACAGCATATCCCCAGCCTCATGACTCCTGCATCATGAGGCCACCTTGGAGAGGAAGTCCTCCACCTCTCAGAGAGATCTTCCAGTTAGAAACTGAACTGCCTTCATGATGAGAAGAGGGCTCTCTGCAGCCTCTCAGAAATATGGTGGTCGACTGTGGATGCACAAATGTGATGCCTGTAGCCTTTTACTTTCCCAATAGTCTCTTAGTCTCTATGTTGGAGCTCTCTGTTCCTAGCTGAGCATTGCTGGTTACCATGCTTATGTTTTCATCTTGGCAAGAGACTAATTTACATCATTTTCTCTCTTCTCCTCTCCTTCTCTCCCTGTTTCCCTACTGTCTCCCCAACAACCCTGCCTCAGGACCAGCTGCTCTTCTGTGATGACTGTGACCGTGGCTATCACATGTATTGCTTGAATCCACCAGTCTTTGAGCCCCCAGAAGGTAACATATGTTGGAAGTCTCATTTGAAAATCACAATAAAGTCCTTGTGGAGAAGGGAAGAATTTCAGAAAGGTGGCCTGGGCCATTCAGGATTAAGGAAGCAGTAGCAAAGCAGAGGCAGGTAGCACCGGAAAGAAAGAAAATTAATAGACACGGAGGTCTAGTGTGATCTGAGATGTCCTGTTCAATCTTGCCTGGTCTCTACCTCCTTTTCCAGGACATGGCTCTTTTGTGGGTCATGGGTACCTTTGGATGTTCCAGATGGCATTGGACACCTCAGTTTAGTCAACTGAATTGAGCTTCTATGAACTGTGACTTTGGACTTTCTAAGAAGTCAAAGTCCCACAGAGAAAGCCCCAGACAGGGAGGTCCTTTCTGGAATAGCTGAGAGTCTGCTGTCAGGAGACTGGATTAAGAGGAATGACATTCCTTGTTCTCTGGTCTGTCTGTGCCTCAGAAGGATGAGAGTTTTCCGGTCTGTATTACATTTGGTATGTAGTTATGTCCTCTGCAGGAGATTCAATCTGGCTATAGTACAACTGGTTGTAGTTTGTCACTTGGTTGTGGAGCAGAGGAACTAGTCTTTTACCACTATTGATTCTCTGACTAAAATCTGCAGAGAGCAGTAGAATTGGAGAAGGAGACATGTGAGTGCAAATGACTGCTCTTTTACATGAGGGGTAAGACAAGAATAATTACAAATCAATCGTGCATTCAGGAACTAAATGTTTCTAACTTTGATAAAGAGGAAACTAAATCAGGAGGGGAAAATTTTGAAATGCAACTAATAGTTAGCTAAAGGTTTCTGTTTGATTGGGAAGTAGTGTATTGAAAGTATGAAAAAATAAAACACCTAGTGGCAATGCACACCCCGGCTGTGTTGTAACGTGTAGAAAGCTTATGTGCACACCACCAAGGGCAGCAGAGCCTGCTTCAGAGAAATACAGGCGATTCCAAAGTTAGGAATATATTATATCCTATTCAAACCAATCTTGACATAAACTCTGAGTGCCTGGATTTTATGTCATTCCTATAAGAAGGATTTCTTCATTTGCAGGGAGCTGGAGTTGTCATTTGTGCCGGGAGCTGCTCAGAGAGCGAGCATCAGCTTTTGGCTTCCAGGCCTGAGGAGCTCCAGCAGTCAAGAAACACTTTGTTCCTGGCGTTGCCATACCAGCACACAATTCCCATCCAGAACACAAAGACACAACCCACATCAAAACGAATGGACACTCAAATACAGGAAGAGGTATCTGTGGTATTCACTGTCACTAATGCCATACCTCCTGGGCTCTGCTGGAAGGATCATGTACTTTCCCGATGCTCCGGATGAAATCTCTTCACTGCTATGCATGGTTGCTGCTTACTGTTACAGGCTCACATGCATTATAGAAGGGGGAGGGTTATATCGACACAGAGAAATCAATTTTGTGTGGCCTTGTGCTTTCTGTTTAGTCTTCTTTTCAAAGAAGAAGTAGTAAAATATCTCCCAAGGAATTATTGGTGAATACTTGGGCTGAGAGCAGCACCAGTTGTTTCTCTTCACAGGCTTGACTGGAAATCTCTTTACTGCAACTACTCGGTATCTGTCGGGGGGCTTTGAGAATTTCATTAGTTCAATATTTCCCAGGTCATGAACAATGCGTTGTCACCGAGAGAAGCACTGATCAAAAATTTTGGGGGTGACAATTTCTCCCTTGGATCGAGTGCTTTGATTTGGCAGATCTTTAGAAATCTGGTTTTAGTACCTCTGAAGGAAGAACAGTACCAATGTGTGCACACATAGAGGCTTAGAAAAGCCTACTACTGTATTTGGTATTTCAGGATATTCAGGCCCACTGTCCCATTGCAATGCCAATGTCCAATCCAGACTCATCATTTTAGGTTTGTTCAGGAAATTGGGAATGGTTATATATTAAATGACTTGCTGCTTAGCTCAGAAAACTGAACAAAAGAAAAACATCATCTTAAGTTGATCATAGAAAGTAAAATTGTCAGTTTTCTGAGCAATCTAAAGTAAGCTGCAAAAATGAACAACTTTGGCTTAGGGTCAAATGAAGCACTTTTGATTATTTTTTTTTTAATTTCTAAACTAAAGTGTTCTGCAACTGAAAGTTGCATTTTATTCTGAGAATTGCCTAATCAGGACTTCCAGCGTTTCCAAAGTGCTGTTTTTTATCAAAGTCACTATCAAGATCTAGCTGAATTTTCAAATAATTTTGCCCCAAAATTCTCTGAATTATCTGCAACCGCATTTTTGGCAAACATGATAATTTGTCAGAAAACCTTCTCCAGCTCTAAAGAAGGGAATAATTTACTGAACCTAATATAAAAAGAAAGATTTTCATAATTATTTAAAAATTTAAATATAAATACTTGTACTTTATTTAAACAAACCTCTACATGTGAACTGAAGAAACACTAAGCAAGAGCATCAGTTGAAAAAATATTATTACAGTTGAGTCTCTTTGAATGATTTAAGACATCACTAGGAGGACAAGTGAGTACATCAAAAAATTTCTACCAGATACATCTTTAAGCTTAAAACCTGCAACTCCCCAAACTGCCAAGTAGCCCAGAATGACCATTTTCTTGGGTACGATATATATTACTTTCTATGCATAGATTTAAGTGGGTTTATAATATAAAATTATGAGAGTCCCAAGCAGCATGTGACTCGGGTTGCTTGTACAAGTAGGTAAGGACACTGAAGATTATATTTGGCATATTTATATTGGTTGAAACTTTTCTGCAAAATTAAATGTCCCTGAACACTTGAAAGGACATTGTGAAAGAATACTGGTGAGGTAATTTTTCTTCCTTCTGCTAATTACACTTAGTTAGAATGAGCTATACTGACCTAATGCACTTTCCCTCATTATTTAGATAGTTTCTTCACCTTTTGCATTTTGTTCAGCTTGCACACCGAAAGTAGCCGTGTCAGCTGCTGGATTCTCCCACATACTGTTTCAGCCTCTTCTCAGGCTGCAGCAGGAGTATTTTAACCTGTTAGAAAAAGATTTAGAAAGTATTTGTCCTAGTTGTACTGGACCAAATCTCTCCTGGAGCAGCTGCACTGGCTGCCTGTGAAATCCATTCACTACCTTAGTCTTTCCCTGTGACAGTGCCTCAGACAAGCCAAGGGTACAAAGAAATTTGAGCATCAGGTGTGGGGAGGGGAAAGCGGGAGCCTGTGGCCCTGCGTTAGGTGTCTGGTACCTGTTGGGTCAAAGCTCTAGAAAAAAATGTAAAATGAAGTGTCATGCTCCCAGTCTGGAAGTGCCCTGGCCCCGGGGAGCACGTGGGGGCCACAGCTTGCCCGCATGAGCCTTTGCACCCGTCTGCTGCTGTGGTTGAACCCTGCTGGCCTGGCACCTTGGGACCATCGCACGGTTCAAGCCGGTACAAATTCCTGTTGCTGCTGTGGCCAGGAGTGCAGGTATGTGTTCACCAGGAGCTGAGAAGTGTGTGCACTGGAGGAAAGTTTTACGGTGGTGCTGGCTGTGGGAGCAGCAGAGGTGGGTTAGGGCTTGGGTTGGTGCTCAGCTGACAAGCCTGCTGGGCTTGGGGAGCTCTGTCGTAAAAACGGCCATCACCTCCCAGCTTCCCGGTATTTGAATTGGCCTTGGAAGAGGAGTAGGACAATGGAGAGGAAAATGCATGTTGTTTTGGACAGTGTGTAAGGGAGACAAGGGTGGCTCATCACGTAAGTCTCGGGTAGTCCTGTTGGTGGGACCAGCTGGTACAGAAAATCAGTGCTCTCCATCCTGGTGACGGAGATGGTGCTAAATGGGCTGTGCTCTGCACACACACCTGCATTCCTATTTTGTGGTTTCGATCCGTAACACTGACTGTTTTCTCCTCCTACAACCATTCTGCAGTGAACAGTGTCTTTCGTGTTTGGAAATATTCCTCAGCTGCCACGCCGAAGTTTATTACTAATGAAATATAATGGAAGGAGAGATTGCTAGACCTTCAACTGCAAAATATTGTTTGCTGTTTGAGATTGGTGTAACAGGGTACTTGCTCCAGCTGCGTTTCATCTCCTTGGCTTTGTGCTGTGTTGCTGTGTAGCCAGACAGCTCCAGGTGACTTTGGCAGCAGATGAGATGCCAGCTCTCCCGTGCTGAGAACTTCCTCCAGCTACAGCCTCCCTTCTTCACCAGCTCAGTCTAAGATAAGGGGCTGGGACAAACCTCTCAGTGACATTTTTAGCAGGCATTCAGAGCCCTACGTCTTGGTGCACTTTAGAAATATTAATTTATGCACCAAGAGAACAATGCTGTACCTGCTCTACTGCAATGTGGAGAGGCTGTGGCACAGCCATGGGGGGTGAGGAAGAGGCATTTAGAACTTCTGATAATGGATTCCCTGTCACCTGGTACCCCCTGGGGACAGCCTTCCTGCATGGCTGCAGGGATGAACGACTGGGGTGACACCATCCGCTCTCTGGCAAATCTCGAGACCTCTTGTAGCAGCGGTCTGGTCTGGGCAGTAAACGCAAGGACTCTGGCACTGCATGCGTCTCTCTCTTGCTCTGGCAGGACATGCAAGTTTGCTGGCAGGCCCTGAGGTGGTCAGACTCTGGTGTGTTTCAGATCTCTTCTGTGCAGGCAAGGCAAGCAATATTTTAGCACAGATCAGGGCAAACTACCATGGGAGATGATAGATCCTGCATCCCTTGAAGTCTTCAAATCAGGAATGGGCAGCTTCCCAGAAGATGTATTTTAATTAAATGCAATCTTAGTTAATCACAGGAATGTCTGACTGAAAAAGGCTTGTGTTATAGAGGAAGTCAGGCTGGATGATGTAATTGTTCTTCCTGTCCTTATTATAAAAACAGATGTTTACTGTGGGAGGGGATGTATTTAAATACAAGCTGTGTCTGCATAATGGCCTTAAAGTATGTTAGTTAAACATACTCACGTGATCCTTCTCATTTTTAACCCGTTTTGGATAACCTAAAAAAGGTCGGTTATAGCAAGTTACCTTACTGATGCAGTAAATTGCTCATGACCTCCTTCATGCCCACGATGGCAGCTACGTTGGTGTTAGCTACCTCAGGCTGTGCCAGAGATTGAACAATCCAGACTGAATTGCGGTGAAACCATGTCTTGTTTCTGGCTTTCCCTTCATCGCATTTGTGTTGCCCAGTTTTCTGCCCCATGGTGGGAAGACTGGCTGAGGAAGGGAGCTGCTGCAGCAGCAGCCTCGGAAACCAGAGGGGTGGAGAAATGGTCATAAAAAGGGGGTGCACCCAAGTCGTGCCACTGAGGAGGTGAGCTCCTGTTATCATCGCAGAGCCCCCCCTGTAGCTCAGAAAAGGAGATACCTTTAAGAAATATGAGATAGGTCCCGTTCTGCCTCCTAACTGTACTTCCATAGACATGTATTTGGACTGAGTTTACAGCATTTCTGTAAATGTACCTTAGGCCAGTTCTTGAGCTAGGAAAGCCACTGTTCAGTGTGTTCTTTTGAAGCAAATATTGCTCTAAATAACTTTGCAATCAGCTTGCTTTAAAAGGAGCTTAGTAAATTCTGCCCCAAAGGAAGAATCTCCTGCACCGTGCAGTGTTATGGGGCTGTTGCCTGTTCTTTACACCTACAGCATGTGTTGTGACAGGGGTCATTTGGGAGGTGAGGAGTGGATGGGGGTAGAAAGGAATATTAATTAAGCTTGTCACTGCCGGAGGGATGCTTTGAATTGTGCGCAAGTAAATTCCAGGTAGAGCTGGGCATGACTTTTCTGCATGGAATAAATTTATTCTTAAAAAATGTGCTGTTCAGAGAACCACGATTATTCACATATCCAAGTTCAATCTGGAAAATTATTTCATACAAAAAATATGGAGGGAATATCGGAGGAGTTGAAAATGCTTGTTTCAATCTTTTTAGGCTGAATCACTTCAATATTTTAACTTCAAAGTTAATTTAATTTCAAAATAAAAAAATTAAATAGCCTTCATTTGACATAAAACATTTAATGTGGGACTCAAAAGTATTTCAGGTCTATCTGAATTGAAATTTTCCGAATTTTCCAATTTAGTGTCATATCCACCACTGTGTATCTGCTTGATTCAGTTACAGCATGTCAAGAAACTGCATTAGAGAAAACTTTACAGTATCTACTTAAAAGAAAGTTAGCAGCTATGGAGGAATAAGAATCTTCTATATGATGCAACTGGTTCATCTAAAAGTAAAAGAAGATAAACAAAATGGAGAAAAATGTAATTTTGAATGCTAGAAGCACTTTCTTAGAGTAAGACATCTTGGTTGATCTTACTTGTCTGTCTATCTAATCAGTTGGAAATGCCAACTGCTGGTCTACAAAACTGTCTTTCAGGGCAGAAGGGGAAAATGCTTTATGTTTTCCTGATATATAAAAAAACGGGACAGAGCAAATGAGACTATATTGGGAAAAATTTGGCACCAGTCTGGGAGGGCAGAAAATTCACATCTTCAGGAGGAGATGATTAAAAGATGGATTGTTTTGTCAATTTTGTTATGGGAGGCTGTGGGTTGGACAAGAGGAGGTCCTCACCTGAAATTTTAACAGTTGACCAGATCTACATTTTTGTGAAAATAAGTTCCGTAGAGAGGAGCAGGCAGACAGGATGGGAAAGCCCTCTTCTCTAGCCAGTTCTGGGTTTGTTACGGTCTTAGCATCTCATACTTTTGCTTGATATACTACATGGCAGGACGCAGGCAGTACGCGTTCATTTTCTCCAGGCAGCTGGGCAGGGTGACCACCACTGCTGGGGCAGGAGCAGGCACGTGCTGTCCCCCTCCTGCCCCGTCCCCCTCAGCATGGGGGGTCTGTAGGAACCACCTGCAGCCAAGGAGGCAGAGGTGCTCACGTGCTCATCGCCAAACTTAGGCCCCGGTTGACAGCAGCTGACCCGGGTGGGAGAGAGCCCATCCATCCATCCATCCATCCATCCATCCATCCATCCATCCATCCATCCATCCATCCATCCATCCATCCATCCATCCATCCATCCATCCATCCATCCATCCATCCATCCATCCATCCATCCATCCATCCATCCATCCATCCATCCATCCATCCATCCATCCATCCATCCATCCATCCATCCATCCATCCATCCATCCATCCATCCATCCATCCATCCATCCATCCATCCACCCACCCATCCATCCACCCACCCACCCATCCATCCATCCATCCATCCATCCATCCATCCATCCATCCATCCATCCATCCATCCATCCGCGCTGCGGGCTGTGCCAGCCTGTCCGCTGGAATGGGGAGTCAGAGCTGCCCTGAGCTTGTCTGGAAGCGTGACATTTCACCGCGCCTAACCGGGGCTTATTTCCACTTACAACAGGGACTGCGGCACCGCTATGGGCAGGTACCCAAACTGTCTGTGCCTCGCTTCTGGAGAAAAGGCAGGATGGCAATTCTTAGCTGTTTCTGTAAAGCACTTGGAGCCCACTAACCGCGTGCAAGCGCCGAGTGCTGCCATTTACTGCAGCGCTGCAGAGCCAGGCTGTGGCGGAGCGAGCAGAGCCAGCTCCCCCGCGCTGTTCCTTATGCCAGTTATTTCTGCCAGCCACGGGCCCTGACGCTGCCCCGGGGGAGATGGGAGCAGGTGACAAGCCAGGAGCTGGATGCTGAAGGTCCAAGACCCTGCAGAGGAAATGAAAAGTTTTAGTTACTGTGGCTGTGCTTCTCCTCTGGTCAAAGAGGGCAGGCGCTGGGACTGGCAGGCAGCCAAATCTATCTTCAGTGGTGATATAATTACTAACAACGACCTCCAGCCCTGGCAGTAGTTAAATGGTTTTTCAGGGCAGGCACCAAACCCGATCTGGTTTCCATAAGATAACCTCAGTTTTGCTGGAGGGGCAGGGCGAGGAGGGTGGGGGGATGTCTCTGGTCTGAAGGGGACTGATTTACAAGCGCAGCTGCCCAGCCCGCTCCCCGCTGTGTCGCCCCTGTCCGCACAGGCTCGGGCAGCCTCCCCCCGACCAGCGCCAGGGCCAGAGCATCGCATCCCTGCTCCCGGGGAGCGGTTTTGCAGGGAGGGTGCTGGGGCTGTGCCAGCCCTGTCCCCGGCGGTGCCGGACGGGGCGCAGGGTCTCCCCGTGCCGCGGACAAGGGCAAGGATGACCCACGCTGCCAGGCCGTGTCCCCGGCCCCCGGGGGGGACGGTGGCTCTCTTGGAGGAGCCAGGCTGCGAGACGTGCAAGCACAATTTGGCTGTCCCGATGGGCAGGTCTTAGCATGGGTCTGTTATGGTCCTGTCCCTCCAGCTGCACCGCGGGGGAGTTTGGCGAGTCCCCCCACCACTGGGCCTCGAGGCACTTAACTGGAGTGGGGGAAGGTAAACAACAGCAATTCTGGGGGACAGAAGGGTTTTTAGGCTTTACCCTCTTATTGCATAAATGCCAGTGAGAATGCCAGGCATTTTGCAGCTAGGGAATCAAGCCAGTAGTTTATTAATGTTTGGTGTGTGTTCCTGCCACGTTGGATGAAAACGTAAAGTATTATTACAGTATTCACCTGTGCATTTAGAATATACGTTTGTTAATGCTGTTTTGAAATGAGGAAACTACTATTTCCAGATCAGCTTACCTCCCTTTGCATTCATGAAGTTAACAATAAAACACTTCATATCTAAAAATTGCTGATTTTTCAGCTCTTGATATTTTCTTTCAGACTCCTGTCAGTCTAGTCATCCATCCGATTCAGTTCATTGTAACAAACTACAGGTTTCACCTCTACAGTGACTCAGGAAACGTTTCCTCTCTCCCCACTTTTCAGAAGCCAAGGAGAGAGAAGGGCAGGTTTTATTCTTTGTATTCTGGAGGAGTGATAAAGAATGACAAGTCCATTTCATGTTCATCTCCTTTCCATGTCTTGAAGGATTGAACTGGTTGGCTGGGAGAGGGCTCCTTTCTCTAGCAGTCTGACGGGTCTTTGCTAGCATGTCTCACCTGTGCATGAGATATCACAGTCTGGAGTTTTTTCCCCTTGGATAAGACTCTTCCTGCTGTTGCTGTATAAGACTTTGAAACTGCTAATTCTCATCAAGGACCCATGTGCCTACAGTCCAGAAAATCAAGATAAGGATTCCTCAAGATTCTCTGCCTGGAAGGCCAACCCCCTTGCTGCCCATGAACTCTGCTGGAGCACAGATCTGTTTCCAGCCCAAACATCTGCTGCTGCTGGACTCAGGACTGCATTTTGATGTCCACTATGCACTGCCAGTGCAAACTTTGCCAGAAACATTAAAAGGGAAGTATCTGATGAAAATCAAAGGACGAGACATGAATGTTATGCCTAATGTACTCTTCCTTCGTAACTCTCCCAGGAGTATAACACAAGAAGTGTGCCCCAGCATCCTTTTGGGAAGGCTATAGCAAGCACATGAGGAATTTCTAAGTGTCATCTCCTTTGAGCTTCATTACAGAATATCCTTCATTGTTCATTCTCATTTTTTTTTCTTCTCTTACAATATATTCACGGATTTCAGAGACAGTGTGTACCAAAGCTGATTTGAAGGGTCTAGAGCAATTTGGAAATAGAGAGAGGCCCAAACTGAACCATCAGCTTTTATCTCCCCCTTAGAAGTGTTCAACAAACCCTTGTTCATTGCAGGGAATCATACTCGTGTGCTGACTTAACCCCAAGTCAACATTAAGGTCACACAATTGTTCATATAGACTCTTTTGTAGTCATAAAATGTTCTTTAAAAATGCAGGGTGAAATGTTTCCTCTTTACCTTGATGGCTTTCCATTTTTTGTGCTGCAGCAGAGATCAACAGTCCTGTTTACTCTCACTTTTTTCCAGCACCTCAACCTGGGTCAGAAGTGATGGGGACAGGCCTGGGAATAATTTATTTAATTGAATTGCAGATGTAAATATAGGCTCAGGAGCATTCAAGTAAATTGTCATCTGTGGTAGACATCCAGATCTCCTAAGAAGCAGAATTTTGTGCACATGTTAAGTTATTGCTTCCCCTTTTCTTCATCTGCCATTTCAGACTGAGTGTGCTGTTGGTATACACATTTTCACTAGAAGTGGTTGCAGAGAAAAATGTCAACAACTAAAACTGGAGGTGGGGAAGACTGAGGTAGGATCTTTGCTGTTGATCCTTTATTTGGGACAACATTGTCCCCATTATTCAAAAGGGGAATAGAACAAGGATAAATCTGTGATATCACAGTGGATGTCTCAGATAAAAACTGTGATGTCATCAATTTACAAGTGCACTTTTAAAATGCTCCAGTAATGATCCCAAAATAGCGACATTCCCATTAATACATTGGTAGAGCCTTACTGTGTGATGCTGTAGTACTGAATTTTAATTAGAAGGAGACTTTAAGTTATATATACAAATATATATGTATTTGTATATCATATTAATGTTACTTACTGTAAATATTGCTCACATATCAGGAATAGATCTAGAGTCCTATAGCAAGTGTTACTTACCTTGATTGAGAAGGCAGAAAGATAAAATCTTGTTTTGCAAAGGTGTGTCAGCATTGTAACAAAATAAGGCAAAACATTATCCCTTACACCTTAATCTCAATCCTATTGAAGCATGATTTATTGGCACATGAAAAAGTACCAATACTCTAAAAGATAGGCCAGATTCTTAGCTGCTCTCAATCAACATTCCTCTGTTGACTTTAAGCCAAGAGGTTGGCCTGGTGTCTTAAAGACAAGAGGCCCAGTCTAAGTAGTTTTAGACTTCACTGTTTGTTAAAATATGCATACTTCTTAATAGTTGAGCACACCCATCACATGTAAGAATATAGGTATTTCTATCCCAGATGAGTCTGATCTGTTTACACTTGGTTCTGGTTCAGCCTGGTTCTGGTGATGCCATGTCACAGCCTCCAAAGGAAAATGAGACATCTCAGCAAGATAATGATGGAGCAGTCAGCAACCAGGGCAAATTTCACTCTAACGCCATGGAGTCTGGACTTGATTCATCAGTTTTCAGTGTATTGCCTTTTGATATTTTGTAAACAACCTTTTACTGCTCTATCAGGAGACAGTGGACAGCAGTGCGTGATTTTCCTCTTCTGTATCAGACCTCACTTTTACTAATCTCTAACCTTCTTTCTCTTACCCATTTCTAATCTGTTCTAGCCTTTTTGATCTCTCTGTCTCCTCACGTGGAACTCTTTTCCAGCCCTATTATTTTTAGCATCTATCCCTGGAGTCAGTCCACTTCAGCATCATTTGCTCTGAGAGAGGCTGAAGTGAAAGCTTGCATGACCGGGATATGCCATAGGTTTACTGGGTGGTGCTTAAACCTTCTAAGCTTTACCTCTCTCCCAAAGGTATGTCCTGACAGCGTCTTTGCTTTTTAGCCACCCCACGAGCGGGCACATAGTCACCTCTGAGGTATTTCTCCTTTGTGGTTACAGCTCACCTCGAAGGAGCCTGTTTTACAGGCAGTGAAGCCATGCAGCCTTGCTGCCGGCACACACTCTCCGCCTTCCCCCAGTGCTCCAGCTGGGGATGTGGTCAGGCTGCTGGCGCATGAGATCACATCCAGCACGGCTACTCCCTGGAAGCCAAAGTGTTGCTTAGTAACCCACTCATG